AAGGCGTGCGCCACCTTCACCTGGCCCCCTCCTGTTCACTTTTCAAGATTAGAGTTCAACACGGTGTTAGGGATTGGCTGATTCTAATGCTGTCTCAATTCAATTCGGCTTCCAGAAGGCTGCGTTCCGAGCCGCTGAGGGTCTCCGCCCCAGCTGGATTTGATTGGCAATAAAGAATTGCCGGACAGCCAATGGCCGGTCTGGTAGACTGCGGTGGGACCTGGAGATTTGTGTGGGCTGGGGACTAGGAGAGAATGGAGAACGGGAGAGGGACCGGTTTGGGGGGGTTGGTGGGGGGAGGAGATGGGACGTAAGAGCTGCAGGAGAGAAAACCAACGAGCCATGTAAGAATTCGGTAAGTGGGCCTGGCGAGGCAGGGGAAGGTTAGGAGTCTCAGGAGTACCGAAGGGGAGCTTTTGCTAGCAGGGGAAGATTTAGGAGTGCCCAGTCTTTGAGCTGGTAACAGGATGTCAAAAATAAACTGGTGTGGGTGTGTGTGTGTGTGTGTGTGTGTCTGTCTGTCTGTCTTTCATTCGGGAATCCAGACTTCTCCTGGACAGGTGTGCACCTGTCCTGCCGGGAGCCAAAGCAGTGTAGCCAAAAGTCACGTTCTCTGGGAAGCCTTCCACCAGACCACCAGTGGCCACACCGTGTCAGAGTTCCAGACAAACTGGGCATCTTCTCTTCAGTGCACTTGCCTCATCACGCCATTACTGCTTAGTATCTCTCTCCTCCAGCTCCAGAGGGAGCAGGGCTAAGATCTGAGCTCATCTTACCCCTGGGCTCAGCACACTGACTCAGAGATCGATTTGTCTGCCGGGTAAAGGGGGAGAGTCACGGGAACACTCTGGGTCTGCTCTGTTTGCTCCGATTGATGGTTTTTGGCTGGCTGTAGGTCCTTTACAATCCCTATGCTTCCTCCTAGCTTTACGTGAAGCATTTAATCCATCACCATTATCCACAGTTTCCAACGGTGCTATAACCCAGGCTCTACATTAACGGTGACGATGTGTGAGTTTGACTTTTAAGGGATGTTTTCTAGCAGGAGGTAAAAAAATCACTGACCTTTTAAAAATCAGTGTATCCAGCATTTTAAGCTAGTGCATTGTACAGTTAGAATACACACCCAAAGACCCAACCTTCACGGTCTTGCCTGATTCTGCATCCCACTCTGGTGACAAAGCTTTTCCTTGTCTCTGTCCCAAACAGTGGGGCCTCCTCACTGGAGCGTGAGGACGCAGGACCTGTGCCATCTCCTGCTTAGACAGGTTTTGACTCCACCTTTTTCTCCATAGCATTCATCATCTGGCACCTGAAACACTCTCCTTTTTTTTTTTTTTTTTAAAGATATGGTTTCTCTGTGTAGCCCTGGCTGTCTTGGAACTTGTTCTCTAGATGAAGCCAGCCTCAAACTCAGAGAATGGTGCCTCCTCTGCTGGGATTAAAGGCTTGTGCCACCACACCCAGCCCGATTCTACATTTTAACTGCCTCTTTCAATAAATGTAAACGCCTCATGGGTGTTTTGTCTCTACGCCTCCTGGTGAGTCCCCTGCTTCTCATTCTTGGTACAGAGCAAGCACTCAGTGGCTTATGTCCTGGTTTGCAGGCTTTTAGAGAACAGCTTGAACAACAGCAAAACAGAGGACACAATTTAAAAAAAAAACAAAAACGTGTAAAGGAACCAAACAGGTATCCTCTAAAGAAGATGTATAAAGAGCCAATCAGCACATAGAAACACAGCATCATGGGGCTGGAGAGATGGCATCTCTGCTTGCTTTATCAGAAGCCCTGAGTTCAGACTCCAGCATCTGCATCATACAAATACCTGTAACTCTAGCTCCAAGGTATCTGATGTACCCCTTATAGCCTCTGTGGGTACCATCAAATACACATGCACACTCACTCACACACACATACACACAGGGTTTCTCTGTGTAGTCCTGGCTGTCCTGTCTCACTCTGTAGACCAGGCTGGCCTCGAACTCAGAAATCCGCCTGCCTCTGCCTCCCAAGTGCTGGGATTAAAGGCGTGTACCACCACCGCCCAGCGAGGTAGATTCTTAAGTCAGGGAGTCATCCAACCTTCAAAATGGACTCATGCATATTGTTAGAGGCAATGTATAGGAAATTCGGCGATATCTTGTGGTAGCAATAGCCTTAGCATTGATGATAATATAATGCTTGCTGTGCATTATCATTAAAGAAGTAACTGAATCCCAAACCCCTGTCTCTTGGTGTACTCTCTATTCCCTCTCGAGGAGCTGATGATCTCACAGTCAAATCCAGTATACGATCCCTGAGTGGAGCAGGACCTGCCGCTCCTCTCCCCGAGGGGGATTCAAACCCCTTATCCATAGCCTGCTCGGAATAGTTAAGAGTAGCCTGCTCTCGAGAGTTTGGAACCATCACTGGTGACTTGGGGTTCCACCCATGAGCACACTTACTGCTCTCACTGTCCCTTTGGAAATCCTACTTCAGGTTCTACTACTAGGAGGAGTAGGAAGAGAAAAGGCACCACCGACTGGCCTAGGGACAGATGTCCACGTGGTCTATCCTCGGCAAAGACTCTCAGGTTCTAAGCCCCGTCGTGCCAAAACTCCATGCTCAAAACAACCTCATCGAGTGGGAGAAAGAATATCTAACGCCCCATTCACAAGTGAATGAACACAAAATTCACGGAGCCTTAGACACAGAAGAGTGGCTGCCCTGAGTGGATTGATTGTTAACATGTATAAAAGATGAAAAAATATTTTTATTTTATATGTGTGAGCATGTATATAATTCAGTGTCCAGGAAGGCCAGAACAAGGCGTCAGCTGCCCTCAAATTAGCTGCTGGGAAGTAAAACCTGGGTCTTCTGCAAGAGTAGTGAGTGTTCTTAACCACGGGCCTATCTTTCCAGCCCTGTATAAAGATTCCTAATTACTGACTGGATCAAAACCTTTCCACTAGAGCAGCAGTAGGTTCCACACCTCCGGCCAGCTTCCTTCTGCCATTTGGCGGTTACAAAACTCACACCAAACAGAATGAGAAAGTGTGTCAACATTACCGAGCTAGTAAGTCTTAGACGGCCTGAGTAGCCACCTTGCCAGAGAGTACACACATTTAACCATTATCCCTGTCCTCTCCAGTAAAGCCTTAACTTTGGTTCTTTGGGAAAGGCCTCATTCTAGGCTTCCTTTGGCTGAAAAAAAAAGTGCTAAAAAAACCCCACAGGTCCTTCCAGCCTTTCCCTAATTCAACCACAGGGGTCCCCAGCTTCTGTCTATTGGTTGAGTGTAAATATCTGTATCTGACTCTTTCAGCTGCTTGTTGGGCCTCCCAGAGGACAGCCATGCCTGGATCCCATCTGTAAGCACACCACGGTATTAGCAATAGTGTCAGGCCCTGGAGCATCCCCCCTGCTACCCCCCAGCTGGATCCCAATCTGGGTCTGTCACTGGACCTCCTCTCCCTCAGGCTCTTTTCCATTTTTGTCCCTGTAGTTCCCTTAGACAGGAACAACTGTGGATCAGAGTTCCTGACTGTGGGATGGCAATCCCATCCCTAGAAGTTGAGGAGGAGGGCGACTCTGTAGGAGGGCCAGCAATCTCAATTAACCTGGACCCCAAGATCTCTCAGACACTGAGCCACCAACCAGGCAGCATACACCAGCTGATATGAGGCCCCCCGACACATATACAGCAGAGGACTGCCAGGTCTGGTCTCAGTGAGAGAAGAAGCATCTAATCCTCAAGAGACTTGAGGCTCCAGGGAGTGGGGAGGTCTGGTGGGATGGGGTGAGGGGGTAGGGACACCCTCTTGGAGATGGGGGAGTAGGTATGGGATGGGGAGTGATCGCAGAGTGGACTGGGAAGAGGTGGTAGCAGCAAGACTGTAAAGGAAGATTAAATAATAATAACAATAATAAGCATAAGAATAATAATAAATTCACCAAAAAAAGAAAAAAAAATCATCCCAGGTCATTGTGTTTCCTGACTCTAGAACCATCTCAATGCTTCTATCTCTGAGCCTAAATGAAATAAGACACTATTTTCTAGGCTAAGATGGAACTCTAGATCTTTTCAATTTTGTGTATTTTACATAAAAATGTTCGAAAGATTATCAGAACAAATCGTCACACTTGGGCTATCTTGTTTAATGTGTACTGATTTTTCCCACAGGGCACCTCTCCCCAGGACTGAACAATCTGCTGATCCACAGGGTTGATGACCTTCCCCCCACACACTCCTTGTCTCAGGGCGTCTGCAGTTCTTTTTGAGGAGATGTCTGCTTTGTTCTCCAGACACTGGAGAGAGGGGATGTACCCTGGGGCTTGTCAATAGGAGGTCGTTCAGTCTGCCAGGCCACTCCATAGGCTGCAAGGGCCTTCAGCCAACTAAAACAAATACTAACTTGGAAGAACATTAGGAACAGGCTCCAACCGGCCAAGTATAATGGGCAGGGAAGGGGAAGACAGGGTCACAGCACAGCTGGGCTCTGATCCAATGGCTAGAGAATCTTCCACTCTTTATAAGAGGTTTTCAGGCCATTTCCTCTACCAAAAGAATTGACTTCTTTGAAACCACCAGAGGTTATATATATATATATATATCAGCTCCTAAAACAAACCTATTTATAGTGCCAGTGCTGTGTCTAAGTTTTTTTTTTTTTTCAAAAACAAAACCAAAGAACCAAAAAACCAAACATCAGCTCACCCAACACGGGTCACCTGTAGCGTGGCATGAGTGATACCCTATGGACCCATTACATCACTGAATCTGCAGAATAGCTTGTTCAAAATCCATTCATTCATACCTGGACAAAGCCCCAGTGGTCCTGGAACTCACTACATAGGCCAGGCTGGTCTTGAACTCACAGAGATCCTCCTACCTCTGCCTTTGCCTCCACCTCCCAAGTGCTGGGATTAAAGACATGCACCACTGCCAGCCACAAGTCCCAGCATCTGAAAGTGGGGACTAGCACATTTAAACATCAAAGAAGGCAGGAACTGTGCTTACAGAGTTCTCCTTTAACTGCAGGCCTTCCCCGTTGGGAAGGGATGATCTTCTTTTGGAGTTTCTGTTCGGGGTGGAAGTAATGGTCCCGGCTTTCTTCTTCACTGTGAGTATCTCGCAGCTGGCTTGGTCCTCATTGTGTGTGCTCTTCCCAGCATTAATAACCCTGGAGAAGAAGCCAGAAAAAGCCAATCAGATGGTGGTTTCTGGGAAACTGAGTGTTCAGTCTCTATCTCAAGGGTCAACCAAGGAGACTCCACAACTGGCATCAACTATCTGATGCCGAGGGCCTGTGTGCTCACTATTTCATGGCCAGGATAACAGAGCCATTGAAAGTGGAATTGCATTAGCACCCTCTGACACACTTGCTAAGGGAGTTATTCTGATCTCAACTCACCTCTGCAGGTGTCTGTCAGATGTGGCAACCCCATCCTCCCCCCCCTAGTCAAAACACATGAAGTAACCACTCCTCCTTCAGGTTAGGTTGGAGCCTGAACTGTTTGGTACTTACAACACAGACAGACAGGGTGGCTTGGGGAATTCTGTTCCATTTTCCCAAATAATAAAGAGCAAAGTTACTATTCATCTTATCAAAGAACATGGCAGCCATTTACAGCACATGGAAAAATCCAAGAGAGGAGAGAACCATACCTCACTATACCCGCCTCTGATTTACACACAAGCCAGGGACCGGATCAAAGGTGTGTGTGTTGTCAGACTATTTTTAGCTCTGTCTCTTATCCTGTAGAATGGTCCCTGCTCTCTGCATTCTGACTTGGACATCGAAGACATCCCATATAGTGCCGTAGCATGTGGGCAAGGCTTTGGTCTAATTGCTAATGTCAGAAGAATTGGAATGTTTCAGGAAAACATGCTTCACCATTCATGCATGTGCTTTTGCCTAAGTCTAAGTACATAGATCCCCTTGACTGTACACACACACACACACACGCACACACACACACACACACTTTCACTTTGCTTTATTATTTTCAGTCTCTAAGTACTTTTTAAAAGTGCAATAATTAAAGACTTCATTCCCTGTACTCTTCTGAGCCACGCCCACCCTTAGATATGAGCTACCATCCTTTGCTTACCTGTATGTCTCACACACAATACTAATCTTACTCTGCAGATGTGTGTTTCTTAAAAGCCTATAGCTTTGCCTCACAAAAAGTTCGTTTCCATCCATCCGTGTAAACAGAAACGGGTACCTTTGTCAAAAAAAGATTTTTATCTTTACCTTAATTGATAAGTATCGTTGAATTTGAAAAAAAAAATGACCATTTTTGGGGGGGTTAGTGAGATGGCTCAATGGGTAAAATGACGTGCTGTCATGCCTGGCAATCCAGGTTATAAAAAGTAAACGATGTTGACATTCAAGATGACTCATTTGAGCGCTCTAAGAAAAGGTCATGCCAGTCACCCGCCATGTGCTCTGTTTTCAAACTGCTTCATTGTTCTTATTGGTGCTTCGACAATATCCATTTCAGTTTTTATAAGCAAAAATCTGCTTTTATTCATTTCACATAAAATTCATATATATATATATTAAAATTTTTAACTCAAATTTTGCTTCTAACCCTTTAAAATCACTTTTTAGGGCATGATACGGAGTTGAGCATTCCTGGTGGCCTCTCTGGGTCAAGTGGATATTGCCGTTTTCTTATACCTGGTGTGGAGAGGCTGGGAGAGAGAGGGTGTCTTATCCTCACTCCCTTTCCTCTAAGGAAGAGATAGTTTAGGATGCACGTGGTGAGGTCACCTACAGGGGATGATTAGCAGTGCCACATGCACAACCAGGACTCAGAGCCAGGACTCAGAGCCACATACACACAGGACAGCAGCTGACTCTGAGAGCCACATACAAGGGCAAAGCTGGGATAAAGACCAGATCTACTTCATCCCTACCTCAATTTCTTCCCTCTGCACCACAGGGACGTCAGGTAGTCTGTAGCAAGCCAAACTGGACTGGGGTGGAAACACATAGTAGGCCTGTTTTAGTCTAGCACTGAGAGGAAGGAAAACTTCCTCCCTGCTTCTCTGACCACAGAAGTGTCTGAGAAAGACCCCAGGGAAAAAGGATGCACAGACAGCTCAGATTTGGCCAACCCAGAGACGTTCATGTTTGGTCCTAGCTATCTTACTAGGTAGGACTGCATCTGAGGCTCAGGACAGACAGGCTCACTAGGTGCATTCTTCTGATGTCTGAACTTGGGGAACTAAGCCAGGAGGACAGGAGAACGAGGTAGGAAATAGCTCATCTCCTCAGTCACTGATAATGACCTGTCAGCAGCGTGTTTGTAGTGTGTTATTTACTGAGATGCAATGCTATATACTACCACGATTTCCCAGACAAGTGACTTTCCCAGACAAGGCTGAAGTAGAGGTCCAGCTGGCAGGACGGCTCACAAGTCCCTCACAGTCTGTCTGTGGAAGGTCTCGGCTACCAGTTCCAGTACTTGAGGGCACTCTACCATGAGCGCCTAACCTCCTGGAGTTGTCTTTGGTTGCTTTGCTTTAAAATAACTACAGCAAAGGTACTGCAGATTTTCAATAGCTCCCTGCGAGGCTGACTCATCAGCCACTGCTGGCTTCAGGGACTCTATAAAACTACTATAATTACTTAAATCATGAATTTGAGATCACCATCCCCTTAAAATGCAGCCTCCCATCTCCCTTGATGGGTGCTAAACTCCGAAGCTGACCCTGGTTTTGCCAAGAGGTCCCCAAACCTTGTGGCACACACAAGGAATCAAGCACCTTGAATGACTACAAAGATACATGCTCACACAGTTAAATACAGCAAAGCTGGGTGCACGTGTGAGCCCCCGGCTCTTGCCCTGACCCGGGCCCTGGGGCTCTTAATTCCCTATTGTGCATCTATTCCAGGTGGTTTGGCACATGGTTCAGAGGTCAGCACTGCATCGGAACTGGAGAACTGTGAAAGAACTATTACTGGTGACCTTACTTTGACATTTCGTGTTCAATCGGCTCGTGAACAGCCCAGTGAAATGCTAAAATGTCAGAACTGTCAGTCTGGTGGGAAGACTATAATACTGTCCTGGTCAGACATTTCAGTATTACCTCATTTCTAGAGGACTGACCATCCCCCCCAACCCCTCAACCACTCCCCCCAAACCCCCGAACAACGATAAAACCCCTTTCTTTCTTTAAAAGATTAAAAAACACCTTGTTTTAATTTAGTTTAATATTTAAATTTATTTGTATGTGTGTGTTTCGCCTACATGTATGTTAAATATACCAGGTGCGTGAAGAGGCCAGAAGAGGGCATCAGATCCCAGGGAACTAGAGTTTTAGATGGTTGTGACCTACCATGTGTGCATGGAACTGAACATGGGACCTCTGGAAGAGGAACAAGTGTGGGGAGCTGCTGAGCCATCGTTCCAGGCCACTGGTCTCTGACTTTAGGGGGGACTGATCGCAGAGCCACCTGCTTTCCCTGAACTCCAGCTCCAGCTCTGGATCTTCTCATTCACAATATCTCACCTTCAATAGTTCACACAGGTTTAGTAGAAAGACTTTTCAATTTACGTTGGTCCTAAAGATTTCGATGCCTACCAACTTAAACACTGTATTTTCTTCTTCAAAGGCAAATGCATACCTGTCAAGTGGAAAAGGAGCCAGACTCCATTAAAACAGTGGTTCTCAACTGTTTTAATGCTGTGAATCTTTAGTACAGTTCCTCATGTTGTGGCCAACCCCCACCATGAAATTATTTTTGTGGCTACTTCATAACTGTAATTCTGTTACTGTTATGAATCGTCATGTAAATATCGGATACGCAGGGTAGCTGATGTGTGACCGCTAAAGGGGTCATGACCCACAGGTTGAGAACATTACAAGGCTAACAGTGAATGGAGAAAAATCTTGGTTTTCCAAGCTGAGAGATAACTTGTGTCTCTGTAAGCACATGACCACACGAACAGCTAGTCTTCCCTTGGCTTCTCTCCAATAAAGCCAGCGCCTGAGGTCAGAAAGCACCCTCTTTGTCTTCACAATGTGCTTACTTTGAACATATAAGACACTGGTGCATAGTAAATTATCACATTTTTGGTGACATTTTTCAATCTACAGAGAAGGCAAACATTTTCTGTGAGACTAACCTGGAGGCAATAAATAATTGTGGCTGTTATAAGCATGGGCTCTGTGATGGTTTGTATATGCTCAGCCCAGGGAGTGGCACTATTAGAAGGTATGGCCTTGTTGGAGTAGGTGTGTCACTGTGGGTGTGGGTTTTAAGACCCTCATCCTAGCTGCCTGGAAATCAGTATCTCCTAGAAGCCTTCAGATGAAGATGTAGAACTCTCAGGTCCTCCTGCACCATGCCTGCCTGGATGCTGCCACATTCCCACCTTGATGATATTGGACTAAACTTCTGAACCTGTAAGCCAGCCCCAATTAAATGTTGTTCTTTATAAGAGTTGCCTTGGTCATGGTGTCTGTCCATAACAGTAAACCCTAACTAAGACAGTTTCTCTCCTAAGAACAGGTCCCAGAGTAGGTACTTTTGAATGGATGTAGGAGTCAGAGAGTCACTGGCTCAGCTGCTCACTTCCTAGTGAGGAGAATGAGGTATTTGTTGAGATCTGTTTGTGTGCCAGAGAGTCGTGACCACTTGATATGGAGTAATCGACTCTTCACATGCTCTGGTCAGCTCTGTGATGACTACAGCTGCTCTGGCCTTCCAGGGGCTGGTGGAGTCGAGTAGTGGCAGCAGGAATGTAAGTTATGGCCACACTCCCCATATCCTCAGCAGCCTTTTGTGAATTAAATTCTGAGTTGCCAAGATATGTGCCGAACAGGGGGATTTTATTCACCTAAATAACTGGGTAATTTTAAAGTTAGGATTATAATTCAGAAAGAAAGAAAAGAAAAAGAGAACGAAAGAGAATTACCTACCGCTGTCTGCTCAATACAGAAACTTTGTAACCACTGTTTTGTCTTTTTTTTTTTTTTTTTTTTTTTTTTAAAAACCAACATAGAACAACAACTAACAGCTGCAGAATTTGAGTTTGCTTTTAAAGGAAGTATAAAGCCCTGGGTGGTTGAAACAAAGTTTTACATCAAAAGGTAACAATTCTCAGCAGGCAGTAATTCCACTGGTTAAGGAAGAGGTCTTTGTATAGGACATCAGGTGAAGCA